GAAGTGATGGTGCAGTATCGCAGTGTTTAAAAATACGATTTTGAAATTGCAAGGGCTGAGATGCATACATTCCTCAATAAAATGCCATAATAACCATGAAGTATGAGGCTTGGCATTCAGTTTTGTTGCTTCTGTCATTATAAAAAAAAAAAATCAGTCTTCTGTTAGCATCGTTTGACAATATGCTCTATTTTAGATCTCAGCATATGAATGTATAAGGTAATTACACATAATATGTATAATTGATACAGTAAAAACTCCTACCACAAGAGGTTTAATATAGGGCTGCAAAATGAAATACATTCAAACTTTTGAAAAAACTGAAGACAGACTATGAAAAGGTTGTAATTAAACTACTAATGGGAGAGGGACATTTTTTTTTTTGTAGTTTGAGAAACAAGCAAGCAAGAGACTCAATCTGGCAGCTCCCTGCCTGAGAAGCTTAACATGAAGTTACACAGCAGCTCCCAATGCCTGGTATGTTTGATGGGAAGTGCCCACACCTTCCGCACTACCTCTTCAGTCTGTCAGACTGATTTTCCAGTTAAAAACAACACTGTGACTACAATGTAGAACAGATGCATGCACCTGAGAAACAGGCACATCAGAAAAGATGATCAACTTCGATATGAGGCAAGTATAACCCAAAAGGGACCGCATGGATATCTTAGCAGCAGCAATGATAATGGCTGAAGACATATAATGGTGCTCATTCTTCTTGCTACAAGAAGACAGAATTTAAGAAATAAATGCATTGCAATCTACAGGCATAGGCAAATCATTTAATGAGATTGGAAGCAGGAAAAAGCTGACTTCCATTACCCCCCTTCTTCTCCCTCATCGCTGGATGACCCTTTATTGCTCAACTACTTCACTTTGCGCTGAACAATTTTTTAACCTGCATCCCCAGTGACACAACTCTGTGTAGACTAACTCATACTGCTGCAGCCTGTTCTACTCTTCTTATGGAAAAGAAACAGTACGGAAAAGTGTTGGCAGCAGGACTTCTCTGCAGTGAGAGACACACACATTAATCAAGGAGTTGTATGACCAAGCAGATGCTCATTAGGTTGTACAAAGAAGCCATCTTCAGGTCTTGAACCACAGACATTTATTTTAACTCTAATCCCAACAGTCCCTAAAACACCTGTTTTGTAAGAGGTATCGCCCAAAATTTCAAAGACACGCACGAAAAAGACACATACAAAATAATACGTCAGGAACCATCCTCCCTGACCCATGAGACAGATTCCTTTCTCAGCTTATCTTTGTCCACTGAGGTGGCTTCTCATGGTCTGAACAGATCATCCAGACCTCCCTGAGAAGGTACTTCACCTCTTCCACAGCAAATAAACACAGAGATTTCTTGTAGAACCCACTTAAATAAGGTCCGGGAGGCAACCTCAATCAGCTCGATCTCCTTCTCACCTTGCCTTCATAAGGAAACAGAGCTGGTGGCTTCTCGCTGCTCCTACACGCTACCCTGCAAAGCAGGGCTTTGGTTGCACAGCCTGGATTAACGTAGCCTAAGATCATTTATGAGAGACATGAAGAAAGAGTTATCGTTTTTAACAGACAATTTTGAGGCAGAATACTACCAATATACAGAGTCCTTGGTTTCACTATATAAATATCTCTGACAGCCAAACAATAACTCTGCCTCTTATTTTAGAGCTCAACCCCAAACTGGTAGACTTCGTAACTCTCCACACTCCTGCTATTCCCCGAGGTGCTTCTAAGATGATCACTGTCAGAGTCAAAGAGTCTATAAAAAGGATGAAGGAAGCTGGGAAATTTCCACAGAGGTGGTGCCAGAAAAACAGAACTAACATTTTAGCCATCTCTGAGTAAAGCCAGGCTGCACCACTGGAATTTCATCACTGAAGTCCAAGAGCTCCCCCAGCTGAGCTCTGGGATGACTGCAGTCGCAAGCAGAAGATGGGCAATTGCTTGCGTACCTGGAAAGTTCCAGGTCTGCTCAAAGGGGTATTCAGGTTTACTCCTCAGAATCCAATGCCTGTACACAGAAGAGCTTGAGAACTCATTAACAGAAGCTGTCATAGTGAAGAACAAGGAAGAACAAGGACTTGGGCAAGTGGTACACTCTTGCCTTATGCTTAAGGGAACAGCAGGGGTGCCTGCCAAACCAGCAGTGGTATCCTGTCACAATACATCTAGTTTTGTGTTACGTGCTGTCATCTATGTAAGAAAACTCAGTTGAATGGGAAAACGTTTTGCCCAAAACATGGTCTGTCCTCAAAATCCTCATTTTAAGGAAGAAATTTTTTACTAAGCAAGAGATTTTTTCCAATGAGGATGGTGAGGCACTGGCCCAGGTTGCCCAGAGAGGCGGTGGAGGCCCCATCCCTGGAAACATCCCAGGCCAGGTTGGACGGGGCTCTGAGCACCCTGGGCTGGTTAAAGCTGTCCCTGGCACTGCAGGGGCTGGGCTGGGTGGGCTCTGAAGGGCCCTGCCCACCCAAAGCATTCTCTGATTCTATGATTTTCCCCCAACCATGTAAGGTTTAGAGAACTAGTTACTGTAAAAGAACTATACAAACACAGAATGGCTGGATAAAAATCCTCCCGTCCTTTTTAAGTGGGGTAGAAGTACCTTTTTTAAAGAAAAAAAAAAAAACAAAAAACCCACCCCAAAAAAACCCAAACAAACCAGGTGCTGAGCATGTTCCTGCTTTGATTTTTAACCAGCTATACCTGAGCTCCTTTACAAGAAGATTTTATGATTTCTCTTCTCTATTCCAATTAGAAACAGTAGTGACTGAACTCTTCAACAACTGAAACCCCTCTTAGGGGAATATTAGGTGCTCCCCAGCATCTCCCTAAACTCCTCAGAAGATCAGACAGAAACAGAAGCTACGAAGAACTTCTAAGATCCGGTATTTGCCAGATACAATTTTCCATCTACAATTTCCACTTCTTTCTGATTCTTAACCTCTTCATACAAACATGCTACACAAAGGTGTTTCGGGTCATACTGTTTGGGAGGTTTGTTTTGTTTGTTTCTCTACTATGCAATCCCTATTTCCCGCAGAAACAACATCAAACGTAAGGACATAAGGAAAACACACTGTTTAGTAAAGATGAAGCAACAGCTTCATGCAATGAGTTTATCATCCTTATGATATACACGGTATGTGGATATCCACATATTGTATCTACAAAACTTTAAAAAAAAAAAATACTCAAAAACTACCCCACCAATAAGCCCCCACCAAAAAAAAGAAAAAAGAAGAAGAAAAAAAAAAAAAAAAAAAAAAACCACCCAAACAGCATAAAGTTCCTAAGACGCATGCAAGAAGAAAAACAGTTTAGGTTGGGCTACAAATACTTAGTGTATACTTCATTTCACAGCTGTTCTCTACCTTTTGCTCACAATGTGAGAGTTTGTGGAACAGCCATTACTTTCATGCTGTAACCAGCTTCTCTTTTCAAAGTAATCTGCTCTTATTTTTACTTTTTGAAAGCAATAACCCTCTATTCTGGGCTCGGAACAAAGACACAAGCAGAAGACAGATGAGGCAGAACTGATAACACGCAGGCATGAAAGGAGCAGTCAGAGACAGCCGTGATCGCGTGCAGCTTAAAGCAGCCAAACTCCTGTGTGCTGACGCGCTGAAACCGCCACACTGAAGACGACACCGGCTTTGCTGGTGGTCACGGCACTGGTACGGGCAGAGGAGAGCAAGTGCTTCTCGTGTGCTGGTGGCACCATCTACTGGAGATGGGGACCGAATAAAAACAGTTTTGATCAACTGCTTCTGAAGATGAAGGAAAAAACTGACAGTATCTAAAATGAGAGCGTGTCACATTTCATTCATAATCCAGAGATACGTTTCTTGAGATTAAGCTTGTTTAACAGAGGTATCGTAAGAGATTCTGCAAAATCCTTGTGCATCTGCCTGAAAGAGGGAGACTAAGAATCGGGTACGCTGGGGAACCAGATTTTCTGACATGTTGGAAAGATTTGGAAAATTCACATTAAGACTACAGCCGAATGTTACAGATTCAGCCCCTCCTTCCACTCCTTTTCAAGACTGTAAAAGAACACTATATCCATTCATTAAAGCCTCTTTGCTGTTGGTAGCTCTTATATGCCTGCAGGCACTAACAGCCTGGAGATGCTTGGTGTCACCGGGGACTCATATTGCAGAGAGATGGGTGGATCTTGTCTGCCACTGCCAGGGCACAATGACAGCAGCTTCACAGTGACATTTCAGCTCTAATTTGCACGCAAATGTCAACATTAGTCACATCAAGATCTTCCGTAAAGCTCTTCTGGGTTGCTAAGTCGCTCTGGTTATACTTTTAAATAGGAGGCTTCAGAAAAAAAGACGACAGACTGGTTCTTGGTAGCATATTCCAGATTTCATAGCTTCTTAATTTCATCCTTATCTATTGATTATTGTTGTGGAAAGTTATTTCCAACCAGTATATGGATCAACAGTGTTGAAAAATGTTTATCGTTATTCTAAGAATGGACCATAGAAAGTAACCCTTTGACCTACCTGTCCCTACAGTTGTAAGCATATTTACATATTTAAATAATGGAAATTTTAAAGTAACAGATGTTTCCTGCCTACAGCACAATGCAAGAACAACAGTCTTTCGTTATTAAAGTGCATCTGAAGCATCCACACGTTCCCATCACCATTTGCCCTCCCACATTAGTGGCAGTGCTCTCCTGCACATTAGTTTCCAAAACGCCCCAAGTGCTGAAATCTGTTTTTACTTGTAATGTCAACAAGTCTCCCTAATTCTGCTACTTTTCTAGAAAGTCAGGAATTAGGCCTCTGAGCAAGTCACCATGAAAGAAAGTAAAACTGCTTTCAAATGTAGAGTAGGAGAAGGGAAGAAAATGGGAAGTGAGAGACTAAGTAGGCCTGATGGAATTCGGTAGACCTGAAGAAAAGGGTATTGCAGTGGTCTCTAAGTGAGGGCAAAGGTACGTAGCCACTATCTATTAGTACTCTACCACTTACCAGGATTTTGGCTCCCCAAAATGCAAGTAGTTGATACTGTAGAGATCCATGTCCTCTGTATGCCAAGCAAATGTTGTCTTCCACATCCCAAAGTAAAGGTAGGGAGTGTTTACGCCTTCTATGATAATGCCACACTCATGTTCCACCATGTCTAAGAGGGTGTTCAGATTGCCAATATTCCATTCTGCCACATCCTGTAATTCAAAAGAAATGTTTTGTACTAGAACATATCAGGACTTGCTAAGCAGAATAATAGCCCACAGCTTCCTTCCAATGCCTTAAAATGTGGATATCCTAGTTATCTGCATTAATTTAATTCCATCTGCTTCCAGAAAGCTTACTTTTAGTGTTCATCAATAACCATGAAAAGGATGCGTTACCACTACTTTGTGGCAAAGGGATTGATTACTAGCTTCTCACTAAATGTGTTCTCTGAAGAGGCACTCGTACTATGTGATACTCTACCATTAAGTAACTGTTCTACTAATAAACGTAAGAGAAACTAAGGGTAAAATACACTTCTCTCAACGACATATTCCATCCAGACGTTCTTCACCTGATGAACATGTATCAGCTGATGAGAAAGACTAAACTTCAATGTGGCCAAAGTGGCAGAAGCCTCTACATCAGCTCAGTGCTTCAGATAAAGAACAGCGAAGACAAGTTTTATTATCAGTATTTAAACAGAAAGAGCAATAAAAAGAAGTTCTAAATCCAATAGCTGGTTTTCTCTACTTCAACGTGAAATAGAAAAAGTCACAAACTGGTACAAATCTTTAACCTTGAGATTGCCTGAAGAGTAATGCAATCTCCAAAAGGAAACAGTTTCCTTCCCCCCCCTTTTTCCCAGTGTACTTAATATGCGTGCAAGTAACCGATAGGTGTGCGAGCAATCCCAGCTTCACGCTGCTTGCTGGAGTAACTGCAAGACAGTGAAACTCAAGCTGCTCAATCTTGAAACTTTCTAAATCAACCTGAAAAAAAAAAAACCAAAACAAAACCACAGGGGCAGGGAGGAAAGGGCTGCAGAAAGGAAGCAACTGAAAAGCAAGATGAAAAGGAGCGCAGAGGGAGAATGTTCTTCATGACTCTGACACCTTAATGCTCGCAGTAACGTCAGTAATTGGACAATAGGAAATGTTCTTTAGGTGTGACTGGTAATTCAATTATTTCATTTCTGCTTATAGGAATTTGGAGGAAACTGAAGGAAACACAATGTATATTCAGTACACTGCAGAAGCTACTTCTCCTAAAGCTTGTATTTGTGCCTCCTTATGTCACCTTCCCTGATCATACCATGGACAAGAATGCAATACTCTCACCAAATACTATGGATAACTTTGATGTCCAAGGCTGTGAAGGCCTCAGATATCTACGTTTATTCCTATTAATTCCACATTAAACCATCCTGATAATAAAAAGACACTTTTACATTAACACGCAGTTTATACTGCAGACAATCAGACACCACTCCAAAAAAAGGCCACTTTCCACTCAAAAGAAAACTACAGAGAAAGGGCACTCCTTTAGAGTAGCTGCCTAAACGGAGTAAGAAGATAAGCAACCTTTACCATTTACAGCAGAAGAAACCACAACAGAATTACTGTGAACATAGGATGCAATTTCACCAAGGAAAAGCTTAAACAATTTGAATTGTAAAATAATTTAGCACATAGGTGGCATTGTATCCTAATATAGCTGCCTACAAAGAAAAAATCCAAATGCAAATGTTTTAGTTGTGTTAAGATTCACAAAAAGTATTTTTGATGAAGCACCCAATTCCTTGAAATGCTGTTTTTTTCTGGCTCTCTAAGAAGCTTCAGCTGAAATCTCTATTTTATTCCCTTAAAAAAAAAAAGAAAAAGAAAAAAAACCCCACACCCTAGCATGATAGAGATCAGGATCAGTAGCTTACTTTTAATTTACCTGCATACCATCACATATATCTGGGCATATCATTACGATACTAGTCCAGTTTTCTTTAACAACCTTTTCTGCAAGCTATATACAATTTTTGGCCAAACACTTCATAAGAACTCGTTTAAATCACTTTTCTAGTAAAACTAAGCTTTTCACAGCTTCCATTGACTCTATTATCCTGAATCTCTGGGGAAGGTGGGAAGTTTAGTCACACTTCTGTAATGAGGGAAAAAAATAAAGACACTATTTGCCTTTTTTTTTTTTTTTTTAAGGTTGCTAAATCAAATAAATTCTGAATTACTGTTCCTTAATGAGAAAAGAGCAATAAGGAAGTCAGTATCTATCCATATTTAACTTATATAAAAGAGGAGCACTTCACTTACTGCATCATACAGTGAGCCACTGATATCAGCCCCATAAATTGGTGAGACAAACGTGAGGTTCTTCCAGTACTTGCGCTCCAAGTCTTCAAAATCTTGATGGCGTGGAGTACAATACCTGATAAGAACAGGGAAAAGGGAAGTGTGTAAGAAATCCTAAGAAACGCTCATCACATATGGATAAACGACTGAAAAGAAGCATGCATTTCAACGCAGACACACTCAGGAGGTTACTGAAGGTGCATTTCATTTTTAATTCTACTAAGATTCACATAATTTATTGCCTTGTAAATCTTCCTACAAAACCTCTTAGTGCATACTGACAAACAGGATGTGCAATTATGCGAAGCGCCAGATCCCCATCCTAAGGATGCATGAGGTGAAGTTATTACACAGGGAGCTGAAGGCAGGTAAAGCATTCATGTGCATGCTGTCTTAGTGGTATTTCAAAGTTGACAGCATGATGTCAGTAATGCCAAGGTGTCATGATGTCAGTTAAAACCCATGACAGCATGATATCAGTTAAAACCCAAGGTACTCAGGAGCTCTGGGAAAGTGACTCTGGAAAAAGGATGCAACTGCAGTTTGTATCAGTTGGCTTGTCCCAGCTAACTGAGGTGCTCTGCAAAGTTCAGTTGCTTCGGAAGACACTCATTTTATTAATATTAGCTCAGGCACTCCAAGATACTCGTAGTTCTACCTCAACAATGGAACACATTTTCCAGAACAACCATTAATACACTGAGAGCTCTCCCTTGAGGCCCAAGCCATTCTTTTCAGGCAGATTCTTAGCCAAATACTGACTCTGAAGAATCTCTCCATACCAACTCCCAGAAAAAGATCCAAGATACACCAAAAGCCACCAATTTACAACTTGTTTGAGATTCTGGATGTAAGCTTTCAAGAAAAAGCTGTTTCCTCAAAAATGCTTCCTATTAAGCATGGCTGCATCTTCTTTTCAGCTTGTTTCTAGAATGAAAAGCTTTCTGCACAGCTCCCCCATTCACAATGTAAGTGCATCACTTAACACAAACGTACTTCTCGCTATTAGCCAGACGCCGGTATTCTCCCACAGTCATGGGTTTCTTCTGTATATTATATTGGGTGAATAACCCTGACTGTCCAGTAACCACCTGCTGAATAGGAGCTGGGATAACCATGTCATCTATGTCATCGTAGGTTTTTCGGGGCTTCCACTCCTTGGGAGGAATCACCTGGAATTGGGGGAAAAAACAAAACAAAACTTCATGTTCACAACAGGCAAACACAACCTCTACTGAAGAAAAAACTGTTGAAGGGGAAGGCATTTCATCCTGCTGCTGCAGGTTATCAGATAACATCAGCGTCTCAAATAACCAGCACATATGACAAGACACCTGTTCTGCATCTGCTGGAGTGCAGGACTAGCTGACACGGTCAGAGGGCTGATGGCCTGCTAGCACTCCCATCAGTACGGTGTCGCAGATGATGGCCAGTGATGATAAAAAGATATAGAGTTATACCAAGGAAATACACTGCATGCCAGAAGGACTGCACATGCCTTCCCTCCAGAACGGCATCCCTCTCTCACCTACCATTCCACAAAGCTGCACGAAGACTCCAGCAGCTTTATCCATATGTTGCATCTCTACAAGTCCATAACCTTTTACAGTAGTCTGAACAACTATTCCATCCAGAAGATCACCTACATTAGGGTTTTCTTGAGGGGATGGGGGGGGAGTTGTTTTGTTTGGTTGGGTTTTTTTTAACTAGGAAGGCTCAAAATCCTGTTGCATTGCTGTTGATGTTTCTGTATTTGTAGGTGACACGTGAGGGACCAACTCCTTAAATGAAAAGGGGTAAGGAGTAGAGAAGAACAAAAGAAAAGCATGGGGAACGCATCCAGAACTCTTTCCTCACTCTTGGAGGCTGTGCAAAAAACCTGCTGCAAAGCAGTGCTGAATCTGGAAGGAAAAGCTGTAATTTTAAACAGAAGAGCTGCCAACAATTCTAGGCTGAAGATCAGAGAACAATCAGTAGGACATTCAGCAGGCATGTGGAATGAAAAAATAAAATATCTGCAATCTAATTTGGTGTAAGGATTAACCAAAAAAAGTTACGGGAACTGGCGGACAAGTTATTGACTTTCATGGGCATGGTTCCTCCAGGGTATGATGAGCTCTCCTTCCATTACAATGCTCTGAACTGCAGTTGCAATAGAGACACACAAAAATTAACTTGGAATACTCAGATTTTGTCCTACAAGTAGAGTAATTTCTTTACAGCATCTGGAATTCACCGACAACCTTTATTAAAATAACCTACCCTAGCGGACTCATGGAATGTAATTGCTAGTACACTTGAGTGGACAAGGAAACATTTCACAGAGAGCTTTTTATCAATACCCAGCTCTATTTAGAACTGTAATAAAAACAGTAATTGACCTATGCTCTAGAAGAAATAAGAATTATTTCATGCCTAACAGCTTTATTTCTCTGCTGTGCTTTATTAAGTTCTGCTAAATACCGTACGTAACAACTACCTTGTCAGAACAAATTATCTCTCTCAGCCTATGGTGCAATGTGACACAGCCACAGAAATACTCTTTCTAAATCAGTTAGTCCTGACTTTTTCCAAGCAGTTGTATGTCAAATACTGGAATTCAGAAGCTTCACATGAAGACTTCTCATGTTTCATCAGTTTCAGGGTAAAGATGCGGACGGGAAGGAAGCAGAAAGATGTTTTAGAACTGGCTGGAGAACTGCTTCCTGAAGGTGAAAAAGGCTTTGAGGTATTTTGGGAATCGCACACGCATACAGGATATGCTTACAGGTCTAGATTCAAGTCACCATAAGGTGGTAGCCCAGAACATTGAAAAGGTAAGAGTAAAAAGTCTGCACCCGTTCATATGGATATCATTTAGATCCCCCTCCCCATCGGAACCTAAGCAGACTTCAAAAGCTTGATCCTTGACCCTACACTCGGGGGGAGCTGAAAACCTCACACCTCCAGCCCCTGAGGACCATGGCTACCATTATCTATACCCTCAGCAACAGAATTGGGACATGGAGATGCCCTTAACCCATCTCTGCAAGGGCTGGGAATGTCCTTGTTTTCCATTTAGGGATCAGGAGAAGGCATCCTTCTTTCACTCTTACAGAAGGCCTGCAACTCCTCTGCCCTTCCTCTCTCAGTAAACCGCAACAGAGATTGCAAGTACAATTTTCAAAAACACGCTCTGCTTGACTACATGAAAGCAAAGTGCTTCTGAGTGATACTTCACGGACGTAAAGCAGAGCCTCGGGAAGGCAGCCTTCAGGAAGCTTTCAGCCACCTAAGCTAGGGCAACTCACCTTGGCAAGCCCTGCTCGGTGAGCTCCCTGCGATTCAATGTAAGCGATGTATTTCCCAAAGTCCCGAAACTCCTCAAGGGTGGGACGAAAGGTCATGATCTTGCAGCCAGGGTTCTGCGGACTTGGGTTTTCCGACCCCATATTTCTAGTACGGCGGCAGCACCTGAAGAGGGGAAATAAAAAGGGAGAAAGAAAGAAGAGAGGCAGGAAAAAAATACTGGTTAAAAACCTTCGTTTTCTTTCTACTCGCTTTAATGAATTGCACGGAAAGGCATGGATATAGTTTTCATTTCTCTCCCCTATTTCCCCGAGAAAGTGTTTGTAAGTACTATCCTCTAACATGGATACGAAGAGCTTCTGACCAAAAACCCACTCAGTCTGTATGTTAGCAGGGCCCTAAGAAGGATCAAGTATCAGGGAGCTCCTGATACCAGTATCATCCGAGAGATCAGACAGGGCCTAAATATAGATGGCAGCCATAACATCGCCCCTCCATCCATCGTATGAAGTTGTGTCTCATCAGAACGGCGGTCGCGAACAAACCTCTCACTACCTTCAGCGTCTACTCAGCGCGTGCACGGAACTAGCTTCCCCTCAAAGTTTTCCACCAGAATGCTTGATCCTTTTCTATACTTAATTACAAAAACAACAGTGTTGGCCAATGTATTAGCTACTATTTCTTCTGTTTTTTCCATGTGCTAGGCTACATTAAAAATCATAAACTTATTTTTTTTAAATGTAGCTTCATTATATTTTGATTGTATTTGCAATGAAGTGTCAGACAATTCTTAAAAGAAATGTAGATGCCCAACTTCAAAACATCTCTCAATGAGAAAAAGCAAAATTGCTCGATTTACTTCAAAATTTGCGGGGCAGAAGGGGGGGGGGGGAATCCAGAACAATTCAGGATGAAATCACAATTTTTAATTGGTTTTTTTTTTTTTTTTACCTTTGTAAAGTTATGCTGGAAACTTATAAAGCACACCAAATGTTTTAATGGCATTTTAGTTGCAAACATAACTAAGAAAATATTCTCCATGTTAGAAAAGCAGCTATAGCACATACAATATGCTCAAGCTATCACGAGAGGGCAGTACGGGGCTTTTAAGGAATAAAAGGCACAGCAACACTGTCAAATGTGACTTATAAATCACAAGCAAAGTATGTTTGGATTTAAATTGATTTCAAACTAGCCAAGAAGTATTCCAGATGCTACTAAAAGTACTCTTTGTGTTAGCAAAACAAAAACAAAACAGAGAAATACTGCCCTGTCAGTGTTTTACTCAGCGAGCGTGGCACAAAACTCACACTCCTCCAAAGAGACAGCAGATACTGTCACTTGCCTCCTGCAATTAAAACCAAGATCGCACACTACTTTGGACAGGCCAGCTCACCCAAGACACCAATGTTTCCTTTACAATTTTAACGCGGTAAACCAGGCAGGTTTTTTTAATTTCAAAGGCAAATGAACAGTTTTGACTTGATATTTTAGAAAATAGGAAATTTTAGACCTTTTCAGAGTAACTTTTATGTACAATACATTTCAAAACAGTGGTCTGCAAGTCTAAGCCCTTCCCCAGCACAGCCTTTAAAAGAATTTCATGCATAAAATCGCAGCCTCTCACATGCTCGTCCTATCCTCTCGCATCTGCCTGGTGCCTCCTCAACCACAGCACCACTGCGCCCCGAAACTAAAGGCGACCTCAGGAGAGCTCTTCCCAAGCCAGGAGCCAGAGATGCAAGGCACGCTGCCTAATAAAACCAAACTATAAACCCCAATATTGCACAATATCCCAGAGCAAAACTAACTGAGGAAAAAGATACCGCTTCACGCCCTTCACCCTGACAGATACTTCTAGTAACTGCATTTCTAACAGAAATTGTTGCAGTCTTAAAACAAAAAGGCCCTTTAATCAACCCCGCCATCTTCAGGGTAGCCCTGCCCGAAGACACGTCCGTAAAACCTTGCCATACAGGAAAAAAAAAATTTGCTAGGTTTTAGGGTCAGCACTTTAAGATAAGAAACATATTTGATCTATACCCACAAGAACAACTTACTACACGAATGTTTTGCAGAAATACAAAAAGAGGAAACAGCATCTCCCGTCCCCGAAATAACCATGGGAGCTGGTAAGCTCCGAGCATCCATCTGCCGGAGGCTTCCTCCAAACTACTGAAGAAAAACATTGCTCACCAGGAAAATATGGCTGATCCTGGTGAAGAGTTGGAAGAAGAAGAAAAGTGACTGTTGGAGAAGTGGGACGCAGACAGAAACCATTCCCAAACTTCTATTGCAACGCAATCTTACTGAGGATACTTCTGCTATTTTTAAACCGGGCCTAGAAATGCCACGAAAGTTCAGCCGAGCGGGAAGCACCAAGCCACGCTCTGCAGCAGCACTGCGCACCGGCTGACCGGGAGTTCTGGCTCGGGGAAAGGAACTTGAATTCCGCCCTGAGAGGATCCGTGCCAGCGCCATCTGCTCCAGGGATGCCTTCCCAGTATCTGTAGCTTTACCCACAACCGGGGGGGGGGAGGAAATAGCCAAAGCCAGGTTTTATTGCATCTTTTCCTCAAGATCATCTCCAGCAATTCCAATTTTTATTCTATGAACTGGGAGCGAACAGTCAAAATACATGCTCCAACAAGGGCAGGGGGGAAATGTCTGTCAAAAATTACTTCATGCAAAGCTTAATCCATCAATTCAAGGGCCTACGTGCCTCAATACAAGCAATGTCGCTCAGCGCTCTGCAACTCTGCAGTGCAGAGACAGCAAAGCACAACAGATTTTTCCATGTTTAGTCCCATCTCTTCATTCTAAGGAACATCCTAACACCTACCCTAGATAACATTTGCTGCAATGTACGTTCATCTAACTAAACTAATTAAGCTATTACAAAAAAATGGCCACGGAGCACACAGGAAGGGAAAATCACTTCAACTCCTTCAGTCAGAGAAGCGTCCACAGCGCCGGCCTGCGCGTGCTTCCCCCCACCAGCCCCAAGGAGCTCGAGACGCCAAAGCCACAGAGGGGGCTTTGGGAGAAAAGAATTTCCAACTGCTTTGCACGTAGCAGCACTAATGTATTTTGGGTAAATAGTGCCAGTATTTACTGTTACCTCCTTCCCAGCTCCCCGGATCACAGAGGACAAGAGGCCGAGGCAGCGGGACAAGCCCAGGGCTGCGACAGCAGCCCAGCCACGCTGCAGCTTCCCTGTGGGATTTTCAGGAGACAGCCTCAATAAAACAGTGCTGTAGTAAGTTTGCCAGCATCACTGAGGAAGATTTCACAGCAGAAGCCGACTATTCTGAGAACACTGAAAGCATTTTTCCATTCATGGCTCTGCCATGCAGCAGGGTGGATGGTGACAACGTGAACAAACTCTTCTCTCTTCACTATTAATAGTGAAAAGGATGATTTGCAGAAAGAGTCTAAGCCCTCTATTAGTCCTTGAAAAGAAGCATTAAGGTATTTTTCTCAGCTGGGTACATTCTGTTTCTTTGTAAGAGAGAGTAACAACCTGGAATATTATGAAAACCTCCCAATTTGCAACCACGGTAAGGGAACGCTAACACTTGTCTCCAGAGGGATGATCTCTGTGGACACAAGCAGCTGAGTTTTTAATTTCAGTGACTTTTACGTGAGACTTTTCCCTCTAAAATTGATGTGAGCCAAGACACTTTTGTGTCTGAAATCCTACACCTGTTGATTGAAACCTTTGTATGGCAGAGAAAAAGCCCAAGAAACCCAGCCGAGACCAATGACTTGTGCTTGCTAAATGACTTGGAGGACTGCGAACCCTTCCTCCAGGGAAAGGCTTGGGACTTTCAAGTAGTTCCCCGCTGCTACCCCACTACTGATCTCGGAGGAGAGGGTAAGGCCAACTCATTCTCCTCCACTTTTGAGCTGGGGGTAACTTTGACTAAAGATAGTGACTATTTGTGGAAGGAAACCTGCCTTTGGGCATCAGCGCTGGAGCCAAATGCTGTACCTACACCCAGGGTGCACGCCTGAAAACATAAAGCAAACCAGTCCTGCTGGTTTGCTGCAACCCCTCCATTATCAATCCGACTTTGAACACTAAAAACACAGCAGAATTTATGACAGAGGACTCTGTTTGTACAGTAACACTAGAAGACCACCTTTAATCTTGCTAAACAAACTCAGTATGTTCTCTGGGATTATCAATTTCTTCGATAAACCAGCACGCGTGTACCTTCAGAGCCCTTTAAAGAAGGCACCAGGACTAAAGGCAAACTTCTACCCAAGTGATGTATGCCATACCACCATGTCAGACTGTATACAACCAGCAAAACCACTTTTGAATGACCTCCTGTCTCTCCAAAGGTGCAGTTTTCCACCATCAACCCCACAAAAACTCCTACTAGCTTTTTCTGAAAGGCCTTGAAGCCAGACAACCGAAAATCAAAAAGATGCAAGGAAAATGCCCTTTGGAACATATGCCTATAGCAAAAAAGGAGAAAGTAGGCAGTCAAAATCTGATAGACAAAACCATTGCATGGAAGCCACAGGCAGCAAAAATAACTTTGTGAGAAGAGGATATATAGCACCCACGGCAACTCCTCAAGATTTCACTTGGGTTGTGTTGCAAGGGGATGAAAAGACACAAGGAGTATCTTTCCGAGCGCACTCCGCAACCTGCTGCCAACTCAGAGCAGAAAATACACACGTTAGCCTGCTCGCACCGGTGGTGGGCACACGCTGGCACCGGTATCACTCCCCGCTGAAGGAAAAAGAACCACAGCCATCAACATTTCACCGAATAAACAAAGCGCTGGCCACAGTTTGAAGCAAGAGGAAATTTCACAGCAGTACCAACTTGGATAGCTACTGAGCTCCCGTCCACGGCCATTTGTTCTTCTCCTCTGCCAAATATGATGATTTGTGGTGCCACAGTGCAAAATGATCAGGGAACCGACTCTGGTTACATGGCCGTGCTTTAAAACAAGTGTGCAGTTTCAGGGGTAGGACTTTTACAGCAATAGGGCAAAGCACCGTCTCAAACCGCAGCCTCAGCACGTGACAAAGAGCGTTTCAAACATCTGAAACGGTTATACGAAAAGTCTTAGTGGATTAAACTTTTCTAGAAGGCACACTTACAACAAATTCTCCTCCTACAGCATAGTCTCACTCCCTCAA